TGAACTTGATTAGTACTTTAGTTATGCTGGCAAATTAGTGTTTTCCAAATTGTTAATTTAGATTAGTGACTTCCTTCTGAGGTGCAGTGGAAGCGGTTGTACTTAAACGTTTTTGTTGATATTTTGGCTCTTTATTTTTCCCGGTCGCGGTTTTAATTTGTTGAAGTTGGTTTACCACTTCACACGCCCTATAGTTCGCAGGGTGATTCTGATTACAGTTACATCATTTTAGCGGTAGTTCAGCAGGTTTTGTGCAGCTTAAAGTTGTATGATTTCCGGCGCCGTTTACACATGAACTTGGACCAGTGAGCTTAAGTGTGCACGAATTTTTTACATCTGCCTTTACCAAGGAACGGATCGAGGGTTGGTTAAAATTTTCCGATATTATAACCGGCGGAGGGCAATAACTTACTTTTGTAGATATTTTACCTTCTTCTGTTTCATCCGGATTCGGAGACTTCAGTGTTACTTCCGGTAAAGAATCTGCTTTGCTTTGTCCACTTTGTTTCTTTTTCAAGCTCCGTTTCGACTGTGTAGGCTACAAGGGTCAATTTTGACGGAGAAAAAGACGTTTCTTTTGTATATTAGCAATTTCCTGAGATTTTAATTTTTATTTCATGCCTGCACTTTTCTAGGTTACAGGTACTAGGCATTTCTAATTCCTAAAGCTGACATTCAGTAATAGATTGAAGATAGTTTTAGTGTGGTTTTGAATGTCGGGTTATCAGTGTTTCAGCAAAATTTGCTCCCCTACAACGATTGAACAGCTGGAATTGGTCATAAACCATTTCAAAAATTGAAAATCAGAGCGCAAAATTGATAAGGAAGTAAATTTAAGTAGTGCAACAGTGCAAAATATAATTGAGCGCTTCGTACATAAAAGTCACATTCAAAATAAATCCCGAAATGCTCCAAACAAAAATTTCAACGAACGTGACAAGCATTTAATTGTGCGTAAAATTAAAGGCAACCAAGACTATCAGTTCCAAAGTTAACTACAGAGATTCAAAAGAAGCTAGGGAAATCATTTTGTACCGAAATTGTGTGTTGGGTACTATGGTGGGTCGATTCCGGACTTTTTTCGATTCGGGATTTGGTTTAGTACTTCCTGATTCCAATGCAACTTTTTGTTTTGAGATCGGATTGCATCTTCAACACCAACTCTGGCCTTGAAATTTCGGAAATTCGCCTAAAATCGTGAAATTATCTACCTAGCGCCTGAAATACGCATCTCATGGCCAAATGTATGAAACCAAAGTTATTTGTCACGTCATTTGCTACCGCAGCTCTCAGCTAACCTGTATTGCTCACCCGGAACCCACCGCGTGGAGGTGGCTGCTCCTCGGGTTCCTCCCAAGCCCAACCCAACCAACCAACTATATGTCAGGCTTGTTTTAGTCTGAATCTGTGTCAAATTTATTCCTAAAATCAGATTTTGTACTAAACTTTGGCACTTGTTGCCTAGATTTCAGTGTAGAGCGTATAAAACGATCACGAGATTGGGGGCCAATAACTTTAGAAGATGCCTCTGTCACCAGTTCGACGGTTCTCTCGACTCCCAAGGTGTGAGAGGGGAATTCACTAAATTTCCATACCTCTGCAGTGTCATCCGACAGCCCTTTTATGAATTCTTCGTTAGAAACTGAACAAAGAACTGGTGGAACAGTCAAGGTAATAGTATTCCAGTTAATCATGTCGTAATAATTATTAGCTTTGAAATTCAGCTTAGGCACTTTATTACATCTAACCCTTCAGTTTACAGTGTCAGACTCTGCTTATCTGGCTGCCAGAAGACAGTCAAGGGCCAACTTTCTGACTTCTATCCGTTCGTCAGTCATCATACTAAGGAGAATGTTTTYTGGAAGAGCAAAGAAAGCATTCTGTTGAATGGATGAATCGACAGCCTTGCACAGTTTAACAGGTAAGTATCWCGACCTTTGAATTGCAGCATAGAGATGGCGCGAGCCATCTTTGATTGAACTGTTGAATCCTATTGAGAACCACAATGTGAGTAAACTGTAAGTATGTACTTGACCAAAATCTTTATTTCCTTTCTTTGTTTGTCAGTAGAAATGTAGAGATTTGCACATGTTACCTGGATGCATCGACGCTAAATCTGAGGAACATTGACCGGAAATAACAGCTTCTGATACTTTATAGAGA